AATGTTGATGAAAATGGGGAAGCCGGATTTCGTGAAGGGCAAGGAGAATAACATCTTGTAGGAGTGATGAAGACCAGTTATGAGTGTGGGGGAAGTTCGGGGAGGCAGTAGGTAAAATGAAAGGGTGTAAGCAGCTGGGTTTGATGGAATAAAGATAGAAATGTTAAAAGCAGGGGGGGATATATTTTGGATTTGGTTTTGGGTGCAATTATTTAATAAATGTAATGGAAGAGGGAAAGGGTTTACCTAGAATTGGCATGCATAGTTCCTCTGTATAAAGGCAAAGGGGAAAAAAGAGAGTGAAAAAATTATAGGGAAAGTCTGTTGAGTATACCTGTAAATGTAAGTAAGTATTATTGAAAGAATTAAGAGTAAGACAGAGAGCAGGATCAGAGAACAAGGAGCTTTAGGAAAGGTAGGGGTGTGTGGACCAGGTTTTTACAGTGAAACATATAAGTGAACAGTATTTAGATAAGGCTAAAGAGGTTTTTGTGGCATTTATGGATTTGGAAAGGCATATGACGGGGGGGATAGGGGGGCAATATGGCAGATGTTGCAGGGTATGGTGTAGGAGATAGGTTACTGAAAGCAGTGAAGAGTTTTTACGAGGATAGTGAGGCTCAAGTTAGAGTATGTAGGAAAGAGGGAGATTATTTCCCAGTAAAAGTAGGCCTTAGCCCAAGGATGGGGAAAACCCACTGTGATTGTTTAATATATTTATAGATGGGGTTGTAAGAGAAGTAAATGCGAGGGTCTGGCAAGAGGCGTGGAGTTAAAAGATAAAGAACATACATAAAGTGGGAGTTGTCACAGTTGCTCTTGCTGATGACACTGTGCTCTTGGAGATTCTGAAGAGAAGTTGCAGAGGTTGGGGGATGAATTTGGTAAGGTATGAAAAAGGGAAGAAAATTAAAAGTGAATACAGGAAAGAGTAAGGTTATGAGGATAACAAAAAGATTAGGTGATTAAAGTTTGGGGATATCAGATTGGAGGGAGAGAGTATGGAGGAGGTGAATGTATCAGAAAATTGGGAGTGGACGTGTTAGCGGAGGGGTCTATGAAAGATGAGGTGAATCATAGTACTGATGAGGGAAAAGGGTGAGTCTGTGGAGACAAAGAACTTTGTCCTTGGAGGCAAAGAGGGGAATGAAAGAGAGTAAAAGTTTTACCAACGCTCTTATATGGTGTGAAGCATGGTGATGAATGTTGCAGCAAGGAGGAGGCCCGGAGACAGTGGAGATGATGTAATCTGAGGCAATGTGTGGCATAAATATTAAAGCAGAGAATTCATAGCTTGGAGATTAGGAGGAGGTGTGGGTTACTAAAAGTATTATCCGTATGGCTGAGGAGGCTTTGTTAAGGTGGTTTGGACATTTAGAGAAGATGGAACAAAATAGGGTGACTTAAAGGGTGTATAAATCTGGAGTGAAGGGAAGACTGGGTAAGGGTTGTCCTAGGAAAGGTTAGAGGGAAGTGGTAAAGGGGGTTTTGTGTGCAAGGGGCTTGGACATCCCACAAGCATGTTTGAGTTTATTATATAAGAGTGAATAGAGGCAAATTGACATGCTTTTGGAGTGTAAGGAAGGCAACATTTATGAAAGGATTCAAGGAACCCTGTTAGCCAGACTTTAGTCCTGGAGGTGAGAAATATAGTGCCGCACTCTGAAGGACGGGTGGGGATATTTGCAGTTTTGAAATGTAGTATTGGCACCCCTCTGACAAGACAGTGATAGTGAATGACAGTGAAAGTGGTATATATATATATATATTTTTTTTTTTGAGCCGCCCTACCTCTGTGGGAGATGGCCAGTTTGTTGAAAAAAAAAAAAAGTTTAATTGACATTTACCTAACCTGTACAGAATGATGCTGTTTTACTGCATATAACCTTTAATAAACAAGAAAATTTATGCTGCAGGGTGCTTTCATTATCAAACATGAGAAATGATGCAGTGTGCAGTACTGATGAAACATGTTATCTTCTAGGACACCAGTCTCGTCAAACTACTCAGCAGCACTACGTTCGAGTCATATGTGGAGGTGATGGGGATTGTTTGTCACAGACCTGATAGTCAGTTAAACAGAGTAAGTTTTTCATTACAATACAGTGACAGCTATACACATGCAGTAATATTACCACTTTTTCTTTCTTCTTTCAGCAAACAGCCATATCCCACCGAGACAGGGTGATGTAAAAAGAAAAACGAACGCTTCTCTTTTTACATTTAGTACTATATAGAGGATAAGGGGTTACTAGTCCCTTGCTCCAGGCATTTTAGTTGCCTCTTACAACACACATGGCTTACAGAGGAAGAATTTTGTTCCACTTTCCCTTGGAGTGCACTGTTCATACATTTTTCAGGTTCTTCAGTTTTTCTAATACAGGCAGGTCCTGCTTTACAGTGCTTTGCTTTATGACATTTTTGCCAATAGAGCAATTTTCAATTATACCCACTCTTCATTTATTCAGACTTAGCACAATAAATATTTTAAGGTAAGGAATGATTTTACTGTATGTGCATTTTTTAGGCCTAGCTCTGTTGCTTTCTTAATATATGATAGTGTAAACATATCAGGCTTTTACATGCATTTGAAAGTGAAAAAAGGCTGTTTCATTTTACAGCAATATTCACTTTACAGCAGTAGCACAGAACATAACCTGCTTTATAATAAGTGGGGCCCTCCTGTAGATCTCATTTGCCATCCTGGGCATGAAATTTCCCTCTGTTCCATCATCTATATTGAACAGTTATTTCAAACATAGCCTGCATCTGTGTTATGCATCGTACTACATTCTCAACACATAGAGCTGTTTGCTCCTTGGTTTTATCAGTTATCTCTAAAACATTTTTCACAAATAACAGTTAATTCTGGAATAGGATGAAATTTAAGGCTTATATCTTTCTCTCCTTGAGTGTACAACAGAAACCTGTAATTGTTTTACATGATGGTAGGATTGCTGGTGTCTTTTTTCTGTCTCATAAACATGCAAGATTTCAGGTATGTCTTGCTACTTCTACTTACACTTAGGTCACACTACACATACATGTACAAGCATATATATACACACCCCTCTGGGTTTTCTTATATTTTCTTCCTAGTTCTTGTTCCTGTTTATTTCCTCTTATCTCCTAGGGGAAGTGGAACAGAATTCTTCCTCCGTAAGCCATGCATGTCGTAAGAGGCGACTAAAATGCTGGGAGCAAGAGGCTAGTAATCCCTTGTCCTGTATACATTACTAAAGTTAAAAAGAGAAACTTTTTTTTTTTTTGAGTCACTTTGTCTCAGTGGGATATGGCCGGTTTGTTGAAAAAAGAAGAGTTTTCTCTCCTGAAGAATATTAATTTTCATTATTTTGTTATTTGTTTTCCTTTTCACTGTTTGGTAGTCATTTGAAAAAATTATCACATGGCTGCTCTCCACCAATTATATATGCATTAATTAGTTTTATAATTTCTGTTTTTTGTTAGATGATGCCCACAGGAGAGATTGAAGTACTCGCATCCAACTACCAAGTCCTTAGTAAGGCTCGCCAAGACCTTCCATTTCTTATACGGGACTTTAACAAGGTATATAAGCTTATTTTCAAGTAGTTTCATGGATTCTTTAAACTTATTACAATATATTGTGTGTGTGTACTTGCTTAATTGTGGTTGCAGGGGTTGACTCATAGCTCCAGGCCTCAAGCATGTGTGTGGGTGAGTATGTGTGTGTACTCATCTAATTGTACTCACCTAATTGTGGTTGCAGGGGTTGAGACTCGGCTCTTGGCCCTGCCTCTTCACCGAATGCTACTAGGTTCTCTCTCTCCCTGCTCCATGAGCTTTATCATACCTCGTCTTAAAGCTGTGTATGGTTCCTGCCTCCACTACATCACTCGCCAGACTGTTCCACTTCCTGACTACTCTATGGCTGAAGACTCGTCTGAGTCTTCAACTTCAAAGTGTGACCCCTTCTTTCTGTGTCCCCTCTCTGGAACATCCTGTCTCTGTCCACCTTGTCTATTCCATGCTGTATTTTGTATGTCGTTATCATGTCTCCCCTAACCCTTGTATCCTCCAGTGTTGTCAAGCCGATTTTCCTTAACTTTTCTTCATAAGACATTCTCCTTAACTCTGGAACTAACCTTGTCGCAAACCTTTGCACCTTCTCTATTTTCTCGACATGCTTGACCTGGTGTGGTTTCTAAACTGGTGCTGCATACTCCAGTATGGGCCTGACATACACTGTGTACAGTGTCTTGAAAGATTCCTTGCTTAGGTATCGGATACGATACTCAGGGCGGACGAGACTCAAGGTTCCACTGTGTACCATAATAAACAGAATAGAGGAAATTAGCTCTAATATACATTACCTAGGTTTGCATACTGGTTGGAGAGCTGGTCATAAGTCTGAACGGTCGGTAAATGAGTATGTCACTAAGTGAGGAGAGCTTGTACATAGAGTTCTAACCAAGAATAACTAAACAAAGCAAGTGATGCAAGATTTCTTATTTCAAGACATTCTTCTTATTTATTCATACAGGTTTAATAATCCTAGGTAGTAGGTTGGTAGACAGCAACCGCCCAGGGAGGTACTACTGTCCTGCCAGGTGAGTGTAAAACGAAAGCCTGTAATTGTTTTACATGATGGTAGGATTGCTGGTGTCTTTTGTCTGTCTCATAAACATGCAAGATTTCAGGTATGTCTTGCTACTTCTACTTACATTTAGGTCACACTACACATACATGTACAAGCATATATATACACACCCCTCTGGGTTTTCTTCTATTTTCTTTCTAGTTCTTGTTTATTTCCTCTTATCTCCATGGGGAAGTGGAACAGAATTCTTCCTCCGTAAGCCATGCATGTTGTAAGAGGCAACTAAAATGCCGGGAGCAAAGGGCTAGTAACCCCTTCTCCAGTATATATTACTAAATGTAAAAGGAGAAACTTTTGTTTTTCCTTTTGGGCCACCCCGCCTCGGTGGGATACGGCCGGTGTGTTGAAAGAAAGAAAGAAGGTTTATTAATCTATATTTTGTGCTCGGTACTCTGTTCATTCAGTTACTTGTGCTGCTTGTGGAAGCAGCACACGTTCATTGATCCCTTGAGTTGCGACAGCACTGAGTTGCGATGTACCCTCATAAGGGGGTTTAGCTTTGAGTTGCGATGAAAAATTTAAGATACGGTATGTGATATGCACACAATGGATGGCACACCTGGGTGAGTGAAAAGGTCTTAAATGGAGTGATAGTGGAGGGTGTGTTCGAGGGGAGTGCGAGGGAGGGTGAAGTGGTGGGTGGGAGTGCGAGAGGCTGAAGTGGTGGGTGGGTGGGAGTGAGGGAGGGTGAGGCAGTGGGTGGGAGGGAGTGAGGGAAGGTGAGGCAGTGGGTGGGTGGGAGTGAGGGAGGGTGAGGCAGTGGGTGGGTGGGAGTGAGGGAGGGTGAGGCAGTGGGTGGGGGGAAGTGAGGGAGGGTGAGGCAGTGGGTGAGTGGGAGTGAGGGAGAGGTGAGGCAGTGGGTGGGTGGGGAGTGAGGGAGGGTGAGGGGCAGGGTGGGTGGGTGGGAGTGAGGAGGGTGAGGCAGTGGGTGGGTGGGAGTGAGGGAGGGTGAAGCAGTGGGTGGGAGGGAGTGAGGGAAGGTGAGGCAGTGGGTGGGTGGGAGTGAGAGAGGGTGAGGCAGTGGGTGGGTGGGAGTGAGGGAGGGTGAGGCAGTGGGTGGTGTGGGAGTGAGGGAGGGTGAGGCAGTGGGTGGGTGGGAGTGAGGGAGGGTGAGGCAGTGGGTGGATGGGAGTGAGGGCAAGTGGGGCATGGGAGGTGGGTGGGAATGAGGGAGGGTGAGGCAGTGGGTGGGGTGGGAGTGAGGGGGGTGAGGCAGTGGGTGGGGTGGGAGTGAGGGAGGGTGAGGCAGTGGGTGGGTGGGAGTGAGGCAGTGGGTGGGTGGGAGTGAGGGAGGGTGAGGCAGTGGGTGGGTGGGAGTGAGGGAGGGTGAGGCAGTGGGGTGGGTGGGAGTGAGGTGAGGGTGAGGCAGTGGGTGGGTGGGAGTGAGGAGAGGGTGAGGCAGTGGGGGTGTGGGTGAGGAGTGAGAGGAGGGTGAGGCAGTGGTGGTGGGTGGGAGGTGAGGGAGGGTGAGGCAGTGGGTGGGTAGGTGTGAGGGTGGGTGAGGCAGTGGGTGGGTGGGAGGATGAGGGAGGGTGTGGCAGTTGGTGGGTGGGAGTGAGGGAGGGTGAGGCAGTGGGGTGGGTGGGAGTGAAGAAGGGTGAGAGGCAGTGTGTGGGTAGGAGTGAGGGAGGGTGAGGCAGTGGGTGGGTGGGAGTGAAGGAGGGTGAGGCAGTGGGGTGAGTAGGTGTGAGGGTGGGTGAGGCAGTGGGTGGGTGGGAGTGAGTGAGGGAGGGTGAGGCAGTGGGTGGGTGGGAGTGAGGGAGGGTGAGGCAGGTGGGTGGGTGGGAGTGAGGGAGGGTAGGCAGCGGGTGGGTGGGAGTGAGGGAGGGTGATGCAGTGGTGGGGTGGGAGTGAGGTAGGGTGAGGCAGTGGGTGGGTGGAGTGAGGGCAGGTGAGGCAGTGGGTGGGTGGGAGTGAGGGAGGGTGAGGCAGTTGGTGGGTGGGAGTGAGGGAGGGTGAGGCAGTGGGTGGGCAGGAGTGAAGAAGGGTGAGGCAGTGGGTGGGTAGGAATGAGGGAGGGTGAGGCAGTGGGTGGGTGGGAGTGAAGGAGGAGTGAGGCAGTGGGTGAGTAGGTGTGAGGGTGGGTGAGGCAGTGGTGGGTGGGAGTGAGGGAGGGTGAGGCTGTGGGTGGGTGGGAGTAGTGGAGGGTGAGGCAGTGGTGGGTGGGAGTAGAGAGGGTGAGGCAGTGGGTGGGTGGGAGTGAGGAGGGTGATGCAGTGGGTGGTGGGAGTGAGGTAGGGTGAGGCAGTGGGTGGTGGGAGTGAGGGAGGGTGAGGCAGTGGGTGGGTGGGAGTGAGAGATGGTGAGGCAGTTGGTGGGTGGGAAGTGAGGGAGGGTGAGGCATGTGGGTGGGCAGGAGTGAAAAAGGGATGAGCAGTGGGTGGGTAGGAGTGAGGGAGGGTGAGGCAGTGGTGAGTGGGAGTGAAGGAGGTGAGGAGTGGAGTGGTAGGTGTGAGTGGTGGTGAGCGTGGGTGGGTGGGAAAGTGAGGGAGGGAGGGTGAAGTAGTGGGGGAGTGAGGTGTGGTGAGGTAATGAGTGGGTGAGAGGAGGGTTGCAGGAGGAAGGCAGGCAGTGGGAAGAGAGACTGGACATGTGCCAGACACCAGTGGTGGGACACTTACAAAAAGACCGTAGTGTCTACATTTCTTTACTAGTCTACCTGCCCTTGCCTGCCTTGTCTTACCTTGCCCTGCCTGATACCTAAGCCCTGCCTGTCCTACTCTACCCTATCCTGCCACTTTGCCAGAACATAAGCCTATGAATGATAGGTTTTCTCTACTGTTAGGTGTCAATGCCTCTGAGGTTTCAAGTTGCACCCTATATTTGTTTACTACTCTGAAAACCCCAGTGTTTATACAAAAATTGTCCAAGTGCAGGTTGGGTGTGTACTTGTGTCTTGGAATGTATTGCTATAAAACAATGCATTTTGGGATTTGAATTGATAGTTTTGGGGTGTGATAAGTCTTCTGGAACTGATTAATATAGTAACTCAAGGGATCACATTAGAATCAGGGCATTAGGTGGCAGCAATTCATAATGGTAAACTGGCCACACTCACAGCACATTACATTAATAATTAGTCACTTTATGTTGATGACTTTGCTATAGCTTGTGCAGGTGCTGACTGCAGCCTCACTCCAGAATGCTGTTAACTGTATTTTCTTTGGGCCAATACTCATGGGTTTAAATTTTCTGGTGCTAAAACATGCCAAATTAATTTCATCAGACGTTCTATTGTCTCTGATACTCCATTGTGCCGAAACTCATTATTATGCTGTTAAGCAAAATTATGAAGGCTTATTCAGCAAAGGTAAAAATATTGAAACTGCTGCATTAAATCTGTGGATTTTTATTTTTTCCAGTGGATTGAGGAGGGGTCGTTGAGGTGGTTTGGACATTTAGAGAGGAGGGAGCAAAATAGGATGACTTGGAGGATGTATAAATCTGTAGTGGAGGGAAGGCAAGGTAGGGGTCGCCCTAGGAAAGGTTGGAGGGAGGGGGTAAAGGAGGCATTTGTATGTGAGGGGCTTGGAGATCCAGCAGGCATGTGTGAGCATGTTTAGATAGAAGTGAGAGGAGTCAAGTGGTTTTTATAACTTATAGCTATTGGAGTGCGAGCAAGGTAACATTTATGAAGGGATTCAGGGAAACCAGTTAACTGGAGTTGAGTCCTTGAGGTGAAAGGTACGGTGCCTGCACTCTGAAGCAGGGTTAGGTTAGATGAGTTAAGTTTTATCAGGCAACAGGACAAGTGTTTCCTGGCACAGGTCTTAGTCACATGATGACCCGCAGGTGGAGATTTTGGTCATCAGACAGAGGCCTTCCACTTGCTTACTGGTCCCCTTCCTTTAAAAATTATGATTATAACCATTAGGTTTTTGAAGGGAGGTGGGGATATTTGCAGTTTGAAGGGGCATCTGGACTGTGGTATCAGCTTGCTTCTGGCAAGACAGTGAAAGAGTGAGTCATGGTGAAAGTGATTTTTTTTTTTTCAGGACACCCTACCTCGGTGGGAGATGGCTGATGTGTTAAAAAAACAATACATTCTGTTTAAAAATCTGTACAATCCTGTAAGAAAAAGCATTTTATTTAGATTTTTTAAAAATCCTAGTTTGATAGCGAACTATCATTGCCTGCCATAAATGAAACAAGATATCCAACATTATTGATTAGTGTTATACCAGATATGACATGTTGTACTGTACTTTATAACTTTAGTAACAAGTTGCTGTACTTTTTATATTACAGCCTAATGAGCAGTTGCGACTGAAGTACCGCTATCTAGATCTTCGTCATTCTGAACTGCAGAATAATTTAAGATTAAAATCCCAGGTATGTGAGCATACAGTGTGTAGTAAGAAAGAAAAAAATTGAAAGATTATGTTTTTGTACTAAGGCTTCAAATCTGTTGAAATATTGCAGTAAGTTTTATGTCTGTTTTCTGTTGAGTAATATCGTTGCAATCCCTGTTTTGATTTTAACCCTTTCACTGTCAGTCCTGTAATATTACAGCTTGCCAGCCAGTGTTGGTCCCGTATTACTATGCCAAAATTCTAGCAGCTTCCAATCTTGCGGGAGAAAGCTGGTAGGCTTACATATGAAAGAATCGGTCTGAGTGGTCATTGTGCACAGTATAAAAAAATCCTGCCGGATGTGGTTCATAATGAGAAAAAAACTCCATCTGTGTTTTTGGTTTAAAACAGCAACTTTGCTGTGTATTTTCGTATAGTATTTCAGTTGTATTCTTGTTTTTCTGGTCTCATTTGATAGACTTGAAGAAATTTTACATAAATAGAGATGGTTTTGAATGGTTTAAAGACCAAAAGTACCTTGAACTTGAGCTCAAAGTAGCAGAAATGTTTGATTTTTGTGGGTGTTCAAGAGTAAACAAAACACGTCATGCATTCAATACACGTCAACTGGTGGGTCTGATATGCTCTCGCAAATTCACTGATATTATTTATACCATTTTTACAATAATGCAGTAGTCTGCATAACAGTAAATCTTCAATTTTTTGTGTGAATAAAAATTCAAAATGAAAAGCAAATGTAATGTAAGAGGGGCCTCAAGACGTGACTAATCAACAAAGAAAATGTTATTTTAGTGCTAGGAATGTTTGCACTGTTAATTCTGACCCTATTTTGAAATTGCCCTTCCTTGAATTATGCATGAAATTGGCCAAATTACCAATTTCTGATTACTTTGTTGGGTAGTTGAAATTGGTAAATGGGTGGTTTCTTGTACAGTGGACCCCCGGTTAATGATATTTTTTCATTCCAGAAGTATGTTCAGGTGCCAGTACTGACCGAATTTATTCCCATAAGGAATATTGTGAAGTAGATTAGTCCATTTCAGATCCCCAAACATACACGTACAAACGCACTTACATAAATACACTTACATAATGGTCGCATTTGGGGGGTGATCGTTAAGCGGGGGTCCAATGTACTCAGTCGATAAAACACAAGGATTTCTAGTGAAGTAGCTATGAGTTTGGTTGACTGGAACAGTGGAATTGGCCGAAAATAGGGCTCAAAGTGGGCAAAATTGCCACTGCGTAAATATCACTGAGACTTTTAACTTTGCGAGAGTGTAAGTTTTCCATCAAATTTTGTACTTTTGGTGTCATTACCAGCAGGAAAGGATTCTCTATCATTTCAATAGAAGAAATTATCTTTTTTTTTTCTTGAAAATTCTTTGACACTGAGAGCAAGTTTGTGTGCAGGGGTCTTGACAGTGAAAGGGTTAATAATAAAAGTATTAAATGTATAGATCTAAAATGATCAAAAGTCAATACATTAATCCTTTTTTAACACAGTTGTTTTAGCCATTGTCATTAATTTACAGGTAGCAAAGAAGATGAGAGATTATTTACAGGACAAAGAGGGATTTGTTGAAATTACCACACCAACTCTTTCTGTCAACACACCTGGTGTAAGTAGACCTTTATTAAACAAACAAATGAACAATATTTTTATAAAATGCAGTACAGTATATTATACATTTTGGGCAATTTACACACACAATCTACTTTATAGGAAGTCCCTTATTGTGAAAGGCATTTTGGGACTTTCATTTTCAATGGGAAAATTAGTTCTGCCTTTTATATTCATCCTATTATTTTAAATTTATTAATTGAAAGTACTGAAACTTGTCAATGTATAAAGCATAATCCATTTTCTGTGTAATGAGGAACATTTGTATTGAAAGTACAGTGGACCCCCGGTTAACGATATTTTTTCACTCCAGAAGTATGTTCAGGTGCCAGTACTGACCGAATTTGTTCCCATAAGGAATATTGTGAAGTAGATTAGTCCATTTCAGACCCCCAAACATACACGCACAAACGCACTTACATAAATACACTTACATAATTGGCCGCATTCGGAGGTGATCGTTATGTGGGGGTCCACTGTACTGAAACTTATAAATGTACAGGTCAGCCATCACTAATCCAGCAATCAGTTATCTGGTTCCATCAGTAGTCCAGCACTAATTTTAGCAAGCATAATTTAAAATTTCATCATTATACTGACTCAAATTTCATCATTATACTGACTCAGAAATTGTGCAGATGGTTGTAAATCCACAGCAGCAAGCCAATGGGGGAGAAAGCAGTGATGAAAATGAGGAAGATGTAGCAGAAAGAGTCTCTGTTGATAGATTAACCCTTTCAGGGTTGCCAGGCCCTCTCCGAGACTTGTTCTCAGGGTCGCCCAAATTTCAAAAAAAAAAAAAAAATTTCTTATGAAAAGATAGAGAATCTTTTCCTGATCATAATGACACCAAAAGTATGAAATTTGATGGAAAACTTATGGAATTATGCTCTCGCGAAGTTAGCGGTCTCGACGATGTTTACGCATCAGCGATTTTGCCCACTTTGAGCTCTATTTTCGGCCAATTCCAGTGTACTAGTCGACAAAAATCATAACTATTTTGCTAGAACTCCATTTTTTTCTATCGAATGAGTACAAGAAACCACCTATTTACCGATTTCAACTATCCAATAAAATGGTCAGAATTTAGCAATTTTGCCAATTTCACACAAACTTAAAAAGATGCCAGTTTCCGAATAGGTCCAGAACAAACAAGAAAGACATTCCTGGCACTAAAATAACAAGTTCTCTGTTCGTTAGTCACATCCCCAGGCCCCTCTTATATTTCTTTGGCGAATTTTTATTCTTACAAAAAATAGAAGATTTACTGTTATGCAGGACTACTGCACTAGTGTAGAAATGGTATAAATAATATCAGCGCACTCGTGAAAGAATATAGACTCACCAGTTGATGTTATTGGACGCTTGGCATGATTTGTTTACTTTTGAACTTTGGTAAAAATCGAACATTTCTGCTACTTTGATTTCAATTTCAAGGTACTTTTCATTGTAAAACCAGTCAAAATCATCTCAATTTCTTTTAATATGTCTTCCCTTCATATAAAATGAGACCGGAAAACTAAAATAAACCATAAATACCATACAGAAATACAGTGCAAAGTCGCTGTTTTAAAATTCCAAAACACGGTCAAAGTTTTTTTTTTCATTACGCACTGTGTGCTGCAGGATTTTTTTATGCTGTGCACACTGACCACATGACCCATTCTTTCATATGTAGGGCCTACCAGCTTTCTCTCACTAGATTTGAGGGCGCTAGAATTTAGGCGTACTAGTACGTCAAAAACCCTGGGCGTAAGCCGTACTAGTCCCGGCCGAAATCCTGAAAGGGTTAATTAAACCTTTCACTGTTTCGGCCGTATAGTATATACGTCTTGGGAGCCAATGTTTTCAGTGTATTAATACGCGTAAATTCTTGTGGCTTCAAATCAAGCAGGAGAAAGCTGGTAGGCCTACATGTGAGAGAATGGGTCTGTGTGATGGGTGAGTGTGCAGAATGAAAAAATCAGGGGCTCAGTGGTGCATTGTGGCAATGTCATTTTAGTAGTCCTTGTTCACCATGCCTCGCGGTAAGAAGTACCTTACTCCCCGGAAAATTGGAGATCTTTTGTTCCCAAGTGATAGCTTTAACACCGATGGAAGTGCCAGTGAAAGCAAATTTCATGGTTTTTGTGGGGGTGTGACTGAAACCCAGTGCCAGGATAATGTAATTAGCAATGAAAACATAGATGATCTACAACCTCTACCTAGTGCTGGGCCGTCTCATTCACATTCACCTGTACCAGGGCGAAAGAGGAAACTATTTCCCCATGTACAGGACTCGGATGTGAGCAGTAAAAGTGATAGTGATAGTGATTTCCAAGCTATTGAAAGCAGTTCGAGTTGTGACAGTGAGGGGGAATATTTTCCAGTGAAGTGGCAGTATGTACGACGTAGCATGCATTCTAGTAGTGTGCCATATTCCATTCCAAGGGGAAGTAGTAAATCTTGGAGGACATCCTGTGACCCTACTCCATGGACTGATAGTGAAGATGACGATATTGTTACAGTGGGGATGGATAATGTGCATGGGGCAGGAGGTGGTGTTGGTGATAGTGTTGGTGGTGGCATGAGTCATGCGGCACCAGGAGTGGGCCACGCTACTACCCACGCTGCTGACTCAGCACAGGCACAACCACCCTCAACCAGCCCCACACTCCTACAACCTGCACAGCCACAATCTTCACAACCACAACCACCTGTCAATATCCAGTACCCACCAGCAGATCTCATCTGGAATTGGCAGGAAGGTGCCAGTTTTGTTCCCAATCCCCATGACTTTGATGAAACACAAAGTAGAATACGGCCATCGTGTGCACTTGGGGACAATGCCACTGAACTGGAATGCTTTCAGTTATTCTTTGATGAACCCCTGATGGACATTGTCAGGCAAAGTAACATGTACTTTGAATACACCACGGCAAACATAATTGTTTCACCAAGATCACGGCTACACAAGTGGAAGGGCACAACTGTGGCAGAGATGTATCTGTTCTTTGCCACAATAATGCTTATGCCACATATGTATAAGCACGCTGTCACATCATACTGGTCAACGGAACGCCTGATTTCAACCCCAGGTTTTAGTGATGTTATACCAGTGAATAGATTTCTGCTACTGTTATGTATGCTACACTTCTCAGACAAAACAACGTCTCACAGAAACGACAGGTTATATAAGATCAGGAATGTGTTTATGTACCTGAAACAAAAGTGCTGTATGACTTTTTATTCCTTCAGGAAGCTTGTTATTGATGAATCTTTGATTTTGTTCAAAGGCAAACTGTCTTTCAGGCAGTATATACCAAGCAAGAGAAAATGCTTTGGTATAAAGTTATTTGTACTGTGTGATTGCAAAAGTGGTCTGGTTTTGGATATATTAATTGTGAACACTGGCT